GAAGCGAACCCCATGAAAGAACCGAGGAGAGGGCCTCAACCTGCCTGTGTAAAGGTGTTGGGGGCCAAACCTTTCTCCAGATCATGCTGAAGGAATCTAAGAACCTCTGCCAACTGGTCTAAAGCGGGAGAGAGAGACCCTCCCTAAGACACCATCGGGAAGGGCCTTCCAGGTGGCATCACAGATGCGCCTTGTGGGAGGTTTGTGAGATACCAGGATAGTGATGATGACCCTTTCAGGAAGATCAGCCTCCTCTAGCCGCTGTCGCTCAAGTGCCACATGGTCAGCTTGAGCCACTGGGGCTCCGGGTGGAGCAGAATCCCCTGATGAAGGGAGATTAGATGGGCTGGGGTCCTCCAAGGAGAAGCCACTGACAGGTTGACCAGGTCCGCAAACCAGGGCGTCCTTGGCCAATAGGGTGCCAGGAGGAGGAGATCCACACGTTCCTCCAACATCTTCTGAATTACTGCCGGAATGATGGGAGCGGGGGAAAGGCCTAGAGGAGACTTTTGGGCCATCTACATCGAAGGGCATTGGTCCCCTCCGCTCCCTGGCAAGGAAACATGGTGAAGAATCTGGTGACCTGGGCAATTTGAGGAGTGGAGAAGATCCACCTCCGGCGTTCCGAATCTGAGGGAAAGATCCCTGAGTAGAGAAGGAGGAATAGACCATTCTGCTTGGTCAACTAGGCTCCTGCTGAGCCAGTCGGCCTGGGAGTTGTTGATCCCAGAGAAGTGGTCTGCCAAGACCGACAACAGGTGTTTCTCTGCCCATAACCCCAACCGTAGAGCCTCTCCCATGAGGACTTTGGACCTCGTCCCGTTCCCCCCCCCCTTCGGTTGACATGAGCCATGGCGGCCATGTTGTCCATAAGTACTAGAACATGAGAGCCGGTCACTGAGTGCCTGAAATGCTTGAGAGCTAGAAAAATGGCTCTGAGCTCTAGCCAATTTATGGGAAGGGCCTGCTCTGACCTGGACCAAGGTCCTGAGTTATCTGGCCCTGCATATGGGAACCCCAACCCAGGAGGCTGGCATCAGTGGTTATCACTAGCCTGTCTGGGATCCTGAAAAGGAATCCCTTCCAGATTAACGGGGAACACCACCAATTGAGAGATCTCCGGATTTGTGGCGGGAGCGGGACCTTGATGGATGAGTGGCTGGTTCCTGCTCCTTGGTAGGGAAGCAGGAACCAGAGTGGACAGGAGTGGAAAAATCCGTGGCTCTGGAGATATGACAGGGTAATTTGCAGATCCCGATGGGCTGCATGGATGAAGGAGGACAGAATCAAAATGTTGTCCAAGTAGCATTGGATCCTCACTGGAACAGAAAGCAGAGATGCCATCAATGCTGCCAGAACCTTCGTGAAGACCCTTGAAGCCGATGAGAGGCCGAAGGGAAGTGCTCGATACTGGTAATGGGTATTCTGATAACAGAAACGGAAAAACTGGCGATGATGAGGCCAAATGGGGATGTGGAGGTAAGCCTCCATGAGATCAGTGGAAGAGAGGAGATCGCCCTCCCGAATGCTCTCTAAAATAGAATGCAGAGTCTGCATTTTAAATAGCCTGTATTTTACAAATTGGTTGAGAAATTTTAGATCCAGGATGGTTCGCTGCCCCCCCTCCCCCGAGGCTCTGGGAACGATGAAAGGCGAGAATAAAGCCCACGTCCCCATTGAGAGGGGGGAACAGGTTTGAATAGCTTGAATTTCAAGAAGGAGTTGAATGGCTTGATTCATGAGGTCTTGCCTTGAAATGTCCTGAGAGACAGGACAGATTAAAAAAAAATTTTTTGAGGGGGGGGGTGCATTAGGAAGTCCAATTGTAATCCTGACCTAATAGTGCTGAGCATGCAGGCATCCGCCGTTGACTCCTCCCATTTGGAGGCAAAGAAGGCTAGGTGACCTCCGATGGGTGGGAAGAACGAGGGATTACTTAGAGCGACGGCAGGAACGACCCCCACCCTCCTGAAAGGGCTGTTTACCAGTATAAGGAGCTGGGCGATAGTCGGCTCTCTTCCCAGAGTAAGAGAGAATTTTATGTTTATCTCTGGTTTCGATGAGATAAGGTTCCAGAGCATTGCCAAAAAGCTTATCACCCGCGAATGAAACTGAAACCAGCTTCCATTTAGAGCGTGACTCCGCCTGCCAATTTCTGAGCCATAACAGTCTTCTTGCTGCTACTGAAGATGCCATGGCCCTAGATGCAAATTTGGTGGAATTGAGAGTGGCATCTGCGGTGAATTCCGCTGCTGCAATAATCTTATTAAGGCCTTGGTGAGACCGAAGGTCAGATGTAGGCAATCTAATCTGGAGTTGGTGCAGCCACCGTATGGATGCCCATATGAGAGTGCCAGAAAATGGGAACGAGGCCAGAACCGGAATGTCAACAGAAGGCCAGGGAATTATCCAGGGCTGCGCTGACATTGTAGAAATGCTTATCCAGAGAAGATGGGCGAGGACCTGCCGAAGGGGAAGCGCACTGTTCCTTGACCATGTCAAGGAACAAAGTGGGAGAAGGCAAACCCCCTGCATGCACTACAGGCTTGGAGAAGAATGAGTCTCCCTCGCTAGAGGGAATTCCTTGTGGCTCGGGAGCCACTTCCTCTGGCGACAGCTTGGCAGTGACCAAGGCCATGCTGAGTAATGGCCTGAAGAGAGAAGGATTGAAGACCAATGCAGAGGATGCTTTGGGCGAGAGTCCTCTTCCTCAGAAAGATTTTGGTCAAAGGTCTCGCCCTCTTCACGTTCTGAATAAGAGGAGTAACTGTGTTCAGATGGTGAAGGCCTTCCCTCCTCATCAACCTCCTCCCATTCTGGTAGAGAAGAATGGACCCTGAGGTCCTGGGGCCTGTGTAAATCAGGGTGATGAGGCAACTTATAGATTGAGAAGGGAGAAGGGCCTGAACCCTTTCCGGAGGTCGAAGGATTTTCTTGAAGCCTTCAGCCAATCCCTGCTTAATGGCCAAAGAGACAACATCTTAGATATCCCCTGGTCTATGCTCAAAGGTACAGGCAGAAGGCTGAAGGCCGCTGCTGTGGGAGTGAAGGTGGCTTCAGGCCTAGATTGAGAAGAGGTTCGAGCCTGTTGGAAATAAGGCCCAGATCTGCTTAGATCCTGAAGATCATTGTACTGCAAAAGCCTCAGGAGACAGGCTCATAGATAACTTCTCTTCCTTGGCTGGAGGAGCTTGGCTGGGGCCCGCAGGTATCACCTGAAACATGCTGTAGTTGCACTCCCTTCTGTTGAATAGTTCTGTTGAACTGCCTCTCTAGGGCTGCATGTCTGTGCTTTTCTGCCCTCAACTCAGCCTGAGTTGCCTTCTTAGGGGTTAGAACTTTAGCTCTGATTTTAGCAGCCACCTCCCTCTGGACTGATTGGGTGCGTTACCTACAACTATTTCTCTTATTAGCTTAAGAGACTGTTCCACTGGGGGGGGGACGGGACTCTGCCTGACCCTTATCTTGCTCCATTTGAAGAATAAAGGCTCTTACGATGGAAAGAAACTGTTTGTAAATTTTTTGTATTAAGCCCCGTAGGGTATAAATTGGCCCTTGGGCTTACAAAATGGCCGCTCACCTCGTGGTGGAAGGCTTCAATCCAAGATGGCCGCTGACTATGGGAAACAGGCTCCGAGATCGAAGAATTTCTCCTTAGGCTATAAAGAACCCCGAGTGAAGTCAGCAAAGGAAAGGGCAGCCTCTGGCCACACGATCAGCTGGCTGACGCTGGTATCGGTTTGCCGATCGCTTTTTACGACCGCTCAAACCGCAGGCATGGGGGAAGTCTACAGACGCTGCCCAACTTGCCTGAACAGCACTCTGGCAACGCTGCTCCCAACGCTGCAGGAGAGAGAGAGCCCTGCTCTCCTGGAAGAGCAGTTGCCCAGATCCTGGGAGCTGCTGAAGCGAGGAAAAAAGGTACTGAAGATCACTGGTGAGTGCTATCAACAGAACCTTATCTGGCTGAAGCTGTTATCGGTTTGCCGATCGATTTTTACGATCGCTCAAACCGCAGGCATGGGGGAGGTCTACAGACGCTGCCCAACTTGCCTGAACAGCGCTCTGGCAACACTGCTCCCAACCTTGCTTGAAACGTGGAAAAACGAAGATCACTGGTGAGTGTTATCTTACAGAAGCTTTCAGAGACACAGCTACTGACTGAAAGGAGCTGAGTCAAAAGCTGGGGTCTCTTCCGGGGGCTGGCTTTTTTTATATCTTAGTACAGACTCAGCTAAATGACATCATAGGAAGGAGTCAACCCATCCTGGGCTCTCAATGCAGCATGGAGGAGAATAAAATCTCCCCTAGGTCATGGGTTAATTCAGAGCCCTTTCACCCAAGGTTGGATTGCTCCAGTTAAAATGGGAGCAACATCCACTGTATCTCTTCCAAACGGTTTGCTAATTACAAGGAAACAGTAGCAAATCATTCTGGAATATTATGCCTTTTGTCCCATGCCTGAATGATTCATTCATTGCTTTTCTCTTTTGTTTGGCAGAGCAATGGGACTTTAATTTTATCTTGCATCAAGTAGGAGAAAATGTGGTGATGGTTGAATAAACTTCCTTAGATGGAAGCGGCAGAAATACTGTCCTGTCTTTCTCCTTCAACTCCAGAATTGGGAGTAACAATACATGCACACACATACACACAAGGGCAAAGACTGGGATTTTAGCTCAGCTGAATCCAGTTGCTTGATTTGCAGATAATATATGACGTGTTTGTTACTGTGTGCATCATTACAGTTAGTGTAGAAGTGGGGTGTAAGGAGTAGATCCAGGACTCAAGGCCATAGATGTTCCCGTATTAAGAATATTGGACTCTTTTTTTCTCATTTCTGTCAGGGGAAGAAAACGGAAGGAAGACATTAAGTACTTTGTCAAGTTGTTGCTCCCTCTGGAAGTGAACTCAACCTCATTAGCGTCTCCTTCATTAATATGTGCACTTGAATGCCTACAAATTTTGTGGATCTCCAAATTTTTATGAGACTCTCCAAGATGCTTGATAGCCAAGTAAGGTCCAGGGGGCGATGCACGCCATTTAAATGATACTTTTCACACAACTTATTTTTTAAAGTTTTAAAAAAAAAGCTGCAGGGAGTGGACTTTATGTTCAAATGCTCAGAAAATTAATACTGACTGAAACTGACCGGATCTAGACATACCTAAATAAAACATGCTGTGAATACTGTATGAACACCTCCATCATTTGCTTTTAAGGAATCATTTTAAAAAGTAGTCGGGGGAAGAAAGTTATTCTTCTAAAAACTTTATATGCCAAGTAGATATATACCATAGAATTGGTGGCTATTGATATTTGTAGTATGTGGATAGGCGAGTCGTTCTGATCTTTGGGATGAACCACAATTTGATGGTAGACAAAATGGTGGATTTAGACGGTCACTCATTTTATCTCCCAGTTCAGAAGTGGCCAGTATTGCCATTATGGGCTGATTTAACCAGGTTTTGCACCGGAGCTGACCTTGGCCCTTCCGTTTTCCTCACTGCTTGGGCCTTAAGCCGGCAAACTTCCCTGCAGATTCAGTCATCGCTTTTCACTGCCCTTGTCTCTCTTAATGAGTGTCCCAGCATGTGCTCCCGCTACTTGTGAACAGCTCTGCCTCTTGTTACTCCTCCACCTGCTTAGTCAGGACAGCTACACCGCCTTGTTCATACTGAGGGGTGTAGGACTGAGATGGCTCCTCCTTGAGGCTTCCTTCCTCAGGGTGGACTTGGTGGCCCAACAAACATGGATTTATTGTTGTTCCATCACATCAAGGAAAGCAGGGTGTGTGTGCATTGGTCATGGTTTTTCCTGGGGAGCTGCCCCTCACCGTTCTGTCCTATTGTCTTTGTCCTCATCCTTATCAGGAAAAGACAGGTGACAGCATGCATGCTTTTCCTCCCCTGGGTGAAGCACAGGTAGTCCTTGACTTACAACAGTTCACTTAGTGACCATTTGAAGTTGCAACAGCATTGTAAAAAGTGACTTATGACCATTTTTCTGTAGTAGTGCAGTGGTTAGAATGCAGTATTGCAGGCTACTTCTGCTAACTGCTGGCTGCCTGTAATTTGGCAGTTTGATTCTCACCGGCTCAGGATTGACTCAGCCTTCCCTTCTTCCGAGGTGGGTAAAATGAGAACCCAGATTGTTGGGGGCAATACGCTGACTCTGTAAAACCGCTTAGAGAGGGCTGTAAAGCACTGTGAAGCGATATATAAGTCTTAGCGCTAGTGCTATTTTTCACAGTTACGACCTTTGTAGCATCCCCATGATCATGTGACCCAAATTCAGATGCTTGGCACCTGGTTTATACTTATGACCGTTGCTGTGTCCCAAGGTCATATGATCTCCTTTTGCGACCCTCTGACAAGCCAAGTCAATGGGGAAGCCAGGTTCCCTGAACAACTGGGTTGCTAACTTATCAACCGCAGTGGTTCACTTAACAACAGTGGCAAGAAAGGTCGTAAAGTGGGGCCAAACTCACTTAACAAATGCCTCACCTAACAACAGGAATATTGGGCTCAATTATGGTCGTCAATCAAGAACCTTTACTCCCTCCCAGCCATTAAGCATTGAGGACAATGACATAGACATAGAATGACAAGTGTTAGCTGTCCCACCCTCTATAACTTTGCCAGATCAAGAGTGGATTCTCTACCAAGGCTGAGCTGAACTGAGCAATTTAGTACATAGTCTGAGTCTTCGCTCTAGGCAAGTTCTGGGAAATAGACATCTGTGTCCCAAACTTGAATCACTTTCTGTTTCTCTTAAAGTTTTTATCATGGGTACTTGAGATATATAGTTAGTCCTAGGAAGACTTTATCTCTCTACCATCATTCAGGACCTGTGGTATCTCCCTCACTGCTGCTTTCAGCCTTCCTTCAAGGTTCCAGTAAAGCAAAGCAGTATTTACCTACCCTTACCTGTGAGTCTGCGGTTGCAGCCTGTGTTTGAAAGTCTAGATCCCCACCACCAATTCATGGGTCATCCCAGCAGACTTTCCACTTGGAAGGATTCGCTTCTCCATGTGTGGCCAGCAAAAGCTGCTGTTGTTGTGGTGGCGGCATGCCTGCAAATCAAATAATTCTGCTGTTGGGCAAAGGAATACCATTCATCCATCATGGGATGTCAGCCAGCTGTTATGTTGGCAAAAAAAAAAAAAAAATGGGGGAGGGGGGGAGAAGGAGATGACAGATTCTATGAAACAAACTGAGCTGGAATGCAAATGAAAAGGGCAGGGGGAATTGGAAAAACAGGAGAAGATGCCCCCCAAAATGCAAAAAGCCAGTGTACTATAAGGATTGATTGCAGCAGATCTAAGCTGCTAGGCTGAGCCAGCCTGCTGGTTCATTTAGCTTGGACGACAGAATTGGGTGCTTCTGAGAAATGATTAGGAGAAACAGAAGCTGTTTACCGTTAGTGCCTTGTTCCCAATGTCCTACGTGTTGGTGTCCATCTCTAGCCTGATGGCCACTCATATATGATGATATTCTGTTATTATTTTGAATTTAACTTAATTTATTTTTGAATTTATGGAGCCATGGTTGGCACAGTGGTTAGAATGCAGTATTGCAGGCTAATTCTGCTGGTTTTCAGCCGTTTGATTCTCACCTGCTCAAGGTTTGACTCCGCCTTCCATCCTTCCAAGGTTGGTAAAATGAAGACCCAGATTGTTGGGGCCAATAGGCTGACTCTGTAAACCGCTTAGAAAGGATTGGAAAGCACTGAAGTAGTACATAAGTCTAAGTGGTATTGCTATTGCTATTAACTGCTATACGGAAGTGGATATGAGTGCCATGAAAATTACTCAGCATATTGGCATTTTATCTAATGGAGGTCAAATTAAAACATGGCTTCTCATGGACCTTATGCATTACTAAGGTTTTGGCAGCACTTCTGTGATGGTCCAAAAGCATGCAATGTGGATAAATATATGCACACCTTTGTTGTTGTGAAGTTTGATCCAGTTTTAATATGCGGTTGTGGGGGGTGTTCGTGGAATTTTAGAATCTCTTACCAAGCTTCAGAGTCAATATTTTCTGATAGTGTATTATTTTTTCCTAATCCATACCCTTCCAGATCTATTGAACTGGTTGAAAAGTGTCAAAGTTGGATCGCAATATACCTGAGGAACATTAGTTTGGAAAGACTAGCCTGGAGTGAGTCAGAGCATTGCAACCACCCATTTAGATACTAATATAATATGGCACATACTTTAAATCAGATTTCCCCAATTTGATCCTTCATTTCCCCAATTTGATACTCCTTCAAGTGTATTAGACTGAAGTTCCTATAGCCCTCCTTCTACATACTTGTCAGCCACAAGTTTATGGGTGATGGGAGATTTTATTCTATGCCTTTGGAAAGTGCCATGATGGAAGGCAGCTCTTCCATAGATTTCTATATGACTTGCACCCAGCACGATTCAGGCAGGCTGTATCATATGGATAACTGATGAATCACATTGTATGCATGATCTAATATAACCTCCTTTGTTTACTCTTTGATAGGTTGTATGCACCGAGGATCATGTAACCAAGACTCTGAACTATCTTGAGATGAGTCCTTCAAGTGTCTTGAAGACCGGACCATATGGTAGCTCTTTCAAACCCCACTCACTCAGCCCTGGCCGGATATTCTCCAATGAGCCATCCAAAGCCAAGCTGGACCCTTTTGGTGGTGCATTGAGTCCGTGGGACTGGACCAAGAATCAGACAGCCATGGAGCACTTCAATCAGCGAGCCAAAAGGAAGCCCTCAATGAAGGCCGGTCGTACCAAGAAGATCTTTGGATGGGGGGACTTTTATTTCAACATCAAGACCTTGAAATTTAGCCTCCTTGTGACGGGCAAGATTGTGGATCACATTAATGGTACCTTCAGTGTCTATTTCCGACACAACTCCTCCAGCCTGGGCAACGTCTCGGTGAGCATTGTGCCACCCACCAAAGTTGTAGAATTCGATGTCTTGGTTCCTCCTATCCCCACCCAACATCTCCAGTCCACCTTAGCTGAGCCGAAGGAATCCAAGACCTTCAATTGTCATGTGGAGTATGAGAAGACCAACCGGGCACGCAAGAATAAGCCCTGCTTGTATGATCCATCCAAGATCTGTTTCACTGAGCATACACAGAGCCACGCAGCCTGGCTCTGTGCTAAACCGTTTAAGGTCATCTGCATTTTCATCTCATTCTTCAGCATTGATTACAAGCTGGTTCAGAAAGTCTGTCCGGACTATAACTTCCAGAATGAGAATCCCTACTTTGGCTGATGGGTGGACTGGGCCTTTGAGGGATGGGGATGTGGGGGATGAAATAAGTTGTGGTTTTTATCCAGCAGAGAGTGAGAACTTTGGAATGACCGGGGAAGAAAAAATACAAACTCCCTACCATGCTCGATAGGACAAAAATAGCTGGTTTGGTTTAGGAACTGGATGTTGTTCCATCAGACATTCCACTTCCCGTAGCCAGTGAATTTCCCAGGACATTAGGAAGATGAAGAGCAAACAGAGGGACAATATTTGTTTTCACAACTCATTCATCCCCCCTCCTGATGCCATTTGTGAGCATCTCATGGGGATTCCCTGCAAGATGAAGAAATCGCTTGCTGTGGCTGTATCTCTTTTGTGCATACACAACCCCTGCTGCTTTGGTAGGGTTCTTACACTGTTCACATCCCTCAGGATCACGCCTCCCAGATGGAATGTGAAGGTAGCAGTGACGGATATCTCTCTTCCTCAGCCGAAGTTATACATCATGCAGCTGAGTTCTTCTTGGAATTCCCATAGGCCTAACTGAGGGTGGAGGAATAGGATATTAACCAAGTGTGCTAATTCAGGTCTCATTCGACCACATAGAAGAGCAAACGTCAGCAGGGTTGAGGGACACTTGTCTAGAGTGGGAAATCCAGCTGCATTAGCTTTCCTGCTCCAATAAGAAGAGATGAAATGTGGAGGTAGCATCATATGAAATCTGGGAATCTGTGTCAAGTGGAATTAAAGAGGGTACTTGAGATATGAGTGAGATCACAGCATATGGCATATGCCTGAGCAAAGCAGGAACAATTGGAAGTATGTAGGATAGTATGTTAATGTAATCAGGACAGTATTTTGTGTGTGTGTGTGAGAGAGAGAGAGGTGGGGGGAGAGAGAGAAGAACAACCATGACATCCAAGCCATGTGTAAGACAGTGATTGAAATGAATGAAAAATAAGTATATGTGTGCGAAACTTAGAGCATGTATGTATAGAAATTTGTGTCCCATTAGACACCTCCCATTGAATTAGATCTGCAAATTTGCAATGACTGAGTCAGCAGATCACTTAATTAGATCCTTCATCACAGATTAAAAGTTGATTGCCAGGCCCAAGATTGAAAGGCATGATGTAACCGGGATAAGCGTAGCAAGTTTTTTTCTTCCACTGGATTGATTGTCTCTCTCCAATTTCCCTCCTAAATGAACTTGATTTAGGATTTAATTTAACAGAATAACAAAAGAGTTGGAAGGGACCTTGGAGGTCTTCTAGTCCAACCCCCTGCTCAGACAGGAAACTCTATAACATTTCAATCAACTTCTGGAGGCAAATTGTTCCACTGTGAAACAATTGGGTTTTCCTTATGGCAGGCAGAGTCCAGTGCAGGTAAGATTGGGAGTGCTTATCTTTAAGTAACAGCTGTCTTTTAAATGTAGATTCTCCGCCGCATATGAGATTGGAGCTTACTCAGACCCAAAGCATTTTGGCTTTGGTGTGCTGCTATATAGTTAGAGATGCTCTGTATTAGGGAGTCAATAAAGAGGCTTTTCAGAGCAACATAGTTATATTTGCTTATTAAATTGCAACCATCTTCTTGTTTAATAGAAATCCAGGACATCCCTTCAGCAATTTTCAATAGGCGCAAATAATATTTTTTACAATTGGAGCAGTCTTTCAGTCAGCAATTCAGTAATTCCCAAGATGGAGGTTGTATACTGACTATATCATTAGTACCAATGTTCCTGATAACAGTTTTCACTTAGTCTTAAGGAATGGAAAGGCTATTTTCTTAGAAAACATTCAACAGGATTGGGGTGTTGTGTTATATAAAGCAGGTCATTGGGTTAAGCCAGAATATGATTTATTTTGTTTGGACATATCATATTCTGTAAATTTACAGACTAAGCTTCGTTAATTTAGGTTTAATTTAGATTTAGTTTATAATGCAAGCCCTTACCAGAAAATGATTGCTCTCCACAACTCTGACAAAAAAGACCAAAAGAAAAAAATAAAAATAAAACCATTATTCCCCTTCTATTTCTTCCCTTGCTCAACACACGACTGAAAGGAGCTTTATTTTTTTTGGAAGAGTTATTCTAAAAGCAATTTATTATATTTCTGCTCTGTTACTTTGTGGCATAGAATGGTATGGAGGCTTTAAAAGAATATATGGGAGACTTTTTTGGATTATCTGGTATTCGGGCAGCAGGATGACTAGATTATATTCTGACTACTTCCAGTTCTTTGATGTTGAATTTTCTTTAGATTTCTTATTGCTTATCAGCTGCTTTTCTTTCCTAAGATTACAAAAACCAGTTCTGGAGTTGTGTAAAGGTCAGATTTGCAACAGAGAAAGGATATGTTTGTGTTTTGACATTATCTTCTGTTATACTAAAAAAAAAAAACATACCACTATTTTTAAAGAACAAATATGGAATATCACATGTTTTCTGAACAGGAAGAATAGGTGAGAAATCACATGTTTGATTTCTCACTTACTCTGCTCCTACATCAAACATTTCTTGCCTTTATAAATCTAGCTCATCAAAGAGAAAAGACATACTTAGCCTTTTCCTGACATCTAATCTGAATGCAGAATTTGGATTGGTTCATTTGGTTTTGCTGAAGTAGAATAATATCCAAACATTTAATTATTTACCCAATTTCCAAAATAAGTGCAGTTCTAGGACTACATGATATTCCTAAATGTGTAGTTCGTCTACAGGAGTTAAAACACTAGAAATCATTTGCTGTTCAAATGTCCAGATCAAACCTAGGAACCTGACCTGGTTTCTTGGAGGTTGACTTGAGTTTTAACTTGCACCTTTAGCAAAGACAATTTTGGTCTAGAAAAAATTACTTTGCCTTCTTCATCTAAACATACATATTTATTTCCACAAGCGAAGCATTTGTGATACAACACTGTTTAGTCAAGTTCTATCATATCAGGTTCAGAAATGAGGAATTATAAACTCATTTTAACGACAGGTGTCGAATCCGCAGACGCTGTGACTTCCCGTTTAGGACTGATATCTCGGAAAGCTTTGTGCATGTTTACAAATAAAGAAAAGATGCAAAGAAAATGCATACGTTAGAAATCATGGAATCAAATGTTTAACCCAAATGTTTATCCCAATGATGAATCATCAACGGTACATTAGTTTTAGTGCATTAATTATACTGCTAACTACATCAAAGTTAAAACAAAATTGCAAACAGCCAAAACTCTGAGAAAGATTGTATCTCAGCTATTATATTTGGTATGTCATACACACTGCCATGAAAGGCAACTACCCTTATCTGAGAGAATCGTGCAGATGGTTGTGTCCATCATTGACTGCAATAGCTTTTGACATTAAACAAGCAGAATTAGGCAATTATATGAATGAATCTGTCTAATTCCACCTAAGATTTCCCAGCCATTTTATATAAAGGACATAATTTCCTTTTACTGTATCTGAATTCCAAATGCAGACATAGTTCATTCACGGAATATATTCCAAGAATGCACATGTATCTTTTAGATTTCAGACTTTATGGGGGAGCAATCACAAATCATTCAAAATAGTCCTGTTATTTTTATTTTTCAAAGTTGTATGCCACCCAATTCGTCAAGGGTGACTCTAGGCGGGTTACAGACTGAATAAAATGTACTATAAAACAGTAAAACAATAAATCATTTTTCTGATCTGTCTCATGCACAGAGGTGGATTTGTGGCTGTGCAGATGCAGATAGATAATTCCACAAAACATCCATAACAAAATACATTTATTGGTACATCATGTATCTTCATAACTCACATTTGTGATGAAGTTCTTCTATGATGACCAATCCTTTGTATATCAGCATTGCAGGTAAAAGATGGTTCTTTTCCTAACCCATCGCATAGCGGTAAGCTGCTTATTAGTACATGAGTCCAGGCAAGAATGGAGGAAACCTCCCTCAACCCCTCAAGGGTCAATTTAGTGACCAATCAGGATTACAGATGTAGCCACGTGACATGAACTACATTTCCCAGGATACCTTTAACTACATTTACCATGATGCATTCCCTTAAGGGGACAGCTCACAATCCCTAAGTAACTATCCAACTCCCATAGACTGGCTGGGACAGCACAATCATAAATTTAAAATTAAGTTAAAAGAGTCCTGTTATGTTAGGTTAGACTGCTGTATTACAGACAAATTCTGCCTGACTGCCAGCAGTTCGATTCTGACCAGCTCAAGGTTGACTCAGCCTTCCATCCTTCCAAGGTGGTTAAAATGAGGACCCAGATTGTTGAAGGCAATATGCTGACTTTGAAAACCGCTTGGAGAAGATTGAAGCACTGTGAAGTGGTGTATAAGTCCAAGTGCTATAGTTATTGCTATTGGGCAATCCATGATATTGGGTACTAAAAAACTATGAATGAGGGCTCTCCACTGCAGATTGGAGTTAAGCAGCCACCTGGTTACACTGAAACATGTCATATCATAATATAATCCCACCAGGGGGAGCAGACAAGATTGGTATAGGTTCTAAAGAGCCCTGCTAAGGCTCCTAAGTCCAGAAAGATGCTCGGTTATGCTGAATGCTGATGGTAGACCAATAATATAGCTGTGATCCCTTTAAAGAAATACAAGAATTGTATCTAGGACTGCATGGATACCACATATACAATTCTCCTGGTGAGCTATGGCACAAACAGTGGCTCCTAATGCTGCTTTCACCTTGAAACAACCATAGGCCCTTAGTTGGCAAGGTAGCCAAACTTGGAAATAAGCCAGCACTCGCTAATACAGTCTACATCACTGACCTACCAATAAAATAAAATCTACTTGCAAACACTTTCAGGAAGGAAATGAAAGGCTGAGGAAAGAGCTAAATTGACAGTGGGTAAATCAGAACTGTAAAGCGGTGCAATATTGTCTGCACTGGGACGTGTACAGAAACAAACCTTTTCTTGGTTGGCCTGTTCCATCCTTGCCTTATTTCTGCATCTGGTCTCTTCCTGTTTGCTGCAGCTGGTGGCATAAGA